TCGCGAATCATACATGCGATGCGGTCAAACATAAATAAAAAATTACGCTGCTCACGAATCATACATCCGACGCAGGTACACATAGAAACACATACTCAAACAGTCATTCAAGACAGTCATCGAGGAGACAATTATTCAAGGAGGTGTAAATTTCCCTTTTTACAAGCCATGAAAATGAAGTTTTACTCTTTTAGAAAATTATTTTCCACTTCGATATGATTTAAGCAATTTAAACTATCAATAAGGTTGCATTTATTACAAGTAAGCATGCTTTTGGGTCCTACACTGCTAACGACCCGGTCGGTCGTTTTTAGAATTTATGCCCCGATCCCCTATTAACTGCTTTCCCCGTGTTCATTTCTGCTATTTTGAATTTACCGGGATGTTCGCTTTTGAGTTTTGGAGAGTTTTGGGACACTTAGTCCCTAAATGAGAGCTTAAGTATTAGAAATTTGACCGTAGTCGGAATAGTGTGAAGACGGCCACGGAATGGAATTTTGATGGTTTCGTTAGCTTCGTTGGACGATTCCGGGCTTTGGGGCATGATCGAATTTCATTTTGGAGGTCCGTAGTTAATTTAGGCTTGAAATACCGAAGGTTGGATTTTTTGAAGTTTCCGGTTGGATAGTGAGATTTTGATCCGAGGGTCGGAATGGAATTTCGGAAGTTGGAGTAGCTCCGTAGTGTTGAATGTGACGTGTGTGCAAAATTTCAGGTCATTCGGACGAAGTTTGATAGACTTTTTGATCGAAAGCGTAAAATTTGAGTTTTTGAAGTTCTTAGACTTGAATTCGATGTTAAATTGGTGATTCGATGTTGTTTTAGGTATTTTAAGGATTGGTATAAGTTTGGGTAGTGGTATTAGACTTGTTTGTGTTTTTGGTTGAGGTCCTGGGGGCCTCGGGTGAGTTTCGGGTGCTTGACAAAAATTGAATTTGGACTTAGAAAGATTTTTGCATTTGCTGAACCTGTCATAACCGCACCTGCATGTGTGGGACCAAAGGTGCGGTGCCGCAGAAGCGGCTATTGTACCGCAGAAGCGAAAATTTGGTCCAGCTCCAGGAGCCGCAGGTGCGAGAAGGTTAACGCACCTGCGAGACCGCATGTGCGGGAAATATGTCGCAGAAGCGGAAAATTTATTTAAGTGAGAAGTCGCAGGTGCGACCTTGGCTCCGCAGAAGCGGGACCGTAGGTGCAGTCCCAGGACCGCAGATCGGTTTTACTGGGTAGAAAAGGGGCAGAATCGAGGGTTTTGTTCAAAACTTGGAAAAAATCAAATTTGGAGCTCGGGGTAGGGCGATTTTGTGAGGTTTTTGAAGAGAATATCATTGGGTAACGATTCCTTGTTCCTTTCTAGTTATCTTCCATTAATCTTATCTTAGATTTGTCATTTAAATTCGGATTTGGAGATGAAAATTGAGAAAAAATGGGAAGAAAGTTCTCAGACCTAGAATTCGAATTTTGATGGGGAATTTGACCTTGGATTTGGATAATTTTGGTATGCATGAACTCGTGAGAGTATGAGGATTCTGAAAATATAAATTTTACCCGATTCCGAGACGTGGGCCCGAGGGGCATTTTAGTCATTTCACCTAATTTCGCGCATTAGCTTAGAATTTATTTGTAGAATTAGTTACTTGAAGTATTATTTACATTATGCAATCGGATTGAATAGATTTGGGCCATTTGGAGTCGAATACTCGTGGCAAGAACGTGGTCTCGGGTTGATTATTGAGCCGGTTCGAGGTAAGTGGCTTGTCTAACCTTGTGTGGGGGAACCTCCCCTTAGGATTTGGTATTATTGATGTTTGAAATGCCCTGTACGTAAGGTGACGAGTGCGTACTTGTGATAATTGTTGAAAAATCCGGTTTCTATTAAGTACTTAGAATTGCGTTTTCCTTTCCTGTTTATACTACCTGCAAGTTAAACTTGTTGTTAGCTTGGGGAAGCATGTCTAATTGATTTAATTGCTTAATTGTTCTACGGCCCTATTTGAATTATGTGCAGCATGCTAGGTTAGAAATACCTGCTTTACCTTGGTGTGAAATTTGGTTGAATTGAGTATTCTTCCTGTTGCTGCTGTGTATTTACTTTGGGACTACGGGACGGTATCCCGGGAGATCCCCCTGTATGTTTACTTTGGGACTACGGAGTTGTATTCCGGGAGATCCCCCTGCACTTTTACATTGGAACTACGGGATTGCACCCGGTAGATTCCCCCAGTATTGAGTATTTATATTTGGGACTACGGATGTGGTATTCCGGTAGATCCCGGCGCATTTATGAGTTGGACTACGGGACTGCACCCAGGAGATCCACTAGATATTTATATTTGGGGACTACAGGACGGTATCCTGGGAGATCCCCCGGCTGTTACCTCTGCGTTGAGCTGTATTTGTTTTACCATGATTACTTGTTTCTGTTTCAGTTGTCTTTATCCTTTATGTCCTGTGTTACTCTTACTGCTATACTCATTTATACTGCTCTGTTCTACACTGTCGGACTTTATGTTTTATTTAATCTCAGTAGGGCCCTGACCTTCCTCGTCACTACCCGACCGAGGTTAGGCTTGGCGCTTACTGAGTACCGCTGTGGTGTACTCATGCCCTTCCTGTGCATGTTTTTCATGTGCAGATCCAGGTACCTCTACTCAGACTTACCATCCTTGAGGCGAGGCGATCTTTCGGATACTTCGAGGTATATTTGTCGCGTCCGCAGACCGAGGAGTCTCTCTCCATTCTCTCTTGTAGTTGCAGCCCTTCTGTATTTACTTTGTTTTAGACATTCTGGAGTTAGAGCACTATGTAGTATCCTTAGCTTGTGATTTCATGAGATTCCGGGTTTTGGGATAAGTATTAGTATTCAAGAGTTGATATGGTGTATGCCGAGCGGCACTATTAAACACTATTTTATTCACTATTTCAGTTTTTGTTTGTTTTTCTTCTGCAAATTGGCTTATTTTCTGCATTTTTAGGCTTACCTAGTCGTAGGGACTAGGTGCCGTCACGGTGGTTTAAGGAAGGCGAACCGGGGTCGTGACAAGACTACCCGTACATAAGCATAATAGCAGCTACGCACGGACTCTCGTCACCTTGTGCGTACGTAGCCCCCATAATTAGTAGCAGATATTCAATTAATTCACCTATGGGGATAATTCCCTCTTACAAGGTTAGAAAGGAGACTCACCTCGCTCCAAAGTTCCATAACCGGCAATCCACGCCCTTCCGAAGACTCAAATCGATGCAAAATGCTCCAACACTAGCCAATAATTATGTAAACCCATTAATAAGAGATCACTACTCATTATAAACCAATTTATAACAATTCCTAACCTCGATCGAAAAGTTGACAAAAATCGCCATCGGACCCACGTGTCCGGATTCCGAAATTTTTCGAAGATAAACTTTACCCATAACCTCACGAACTCAAATATATAATTTACTCTTAATTTCATGTCCAAAATCGTGGTCAAAATCCAAAAATACCAATTTTCTAGGTTTTTCCCTCAACCCCAAGTTTTCCACTAATTTCCATGTTAAAATCTACACATAATCATTGTATTTAACTCATAATAGGTAGGATTAACTTACCTCCAAGTTGCTAGGTGGAAGCCCCTCTCAAGAAGCTCAAAAATCGCCCCAAAATAGAGAAAAATGAGCAAAATGGCCAAACCCCGCTATTTAATGTATTCTGCCCAGCAACTTCCGCACCTGCGGACTCCTCGCCGCTTCTGCGGAGGCCCCATCGCACATGCGCCAATCAGTGCTTCTACGGTCTTCCTTCTCGTTTCTGTGCTTGCGCAGATGCGGTCGATGCCCCGCACCTGCGGCACTTCACCTGGGCGGCCATCTTCCCCTTCTGCGCCTCCTAGGCCGCTTCTGCAGCTCCACACCTGCGGCCCAAGCCTCGCAGGTGCGGTTACACCCGAGGCCCCCGGGACCCCAACCAATCATGCCAACCAGTCCCAAAACACATTACGGACTTGCTCGAGGCCTCAAATCATATCAAAAAACGCTAAAATCACGAATCACACCCCAAATCAAACTTAATGAACTTGAGAAATTCAAACTTCAATTCACATCCGATTGACCTCAAATTTTGCACACAAGTCATATTCGACATTACGGACCTACTCCAACTTCCGGAATAGGAATCCGACCCCAATATCAAAAAGTCCACTTCCGGTCAAACTTCTCAAGAACCTTCAAACTTCTATCTTTAGCCAAATGACTCCAAAATGACCCACGGAGCTCCGAATTCACTTCTGATTGCACTCCCAGCACCAGAATCACCATACGGAGCTATTCCCAAACTCGGAATCCCAAACGGACATTGATAACACGGAAACTTATGAAATTCTTCCAAAAATGCTAACTTCCACAATAAGTGCCGAAAGATTTCCGGGTCTTCCAAAACCTGATCCGGATATACACCCAAGTCCGAAATCATCATACGAACCAGCTGGAACCTTCGAATCCCGATTCCGAGGTTGTTTACTCAAAAATCCAATCTTAGTCAATTCTTTCAACTTAAAGCTTCCGAAATGAGAATTCTCTCTCCAAATCAACTTCGAACTTCCCGGAATTCAATTTCGACCACGCGTACAAGTCATAATACCTGAAGTGAAGCTACTCAGGGCTTCAAATCGCTGAACGACGCGCTAGAGCTCAAAACAACCGGTCTGGTCGTTACATCCTCATCATAGTAAACTATTTTGCTCCTCTCGTTCTGTGGTTTTTTCCCTTATTCAAAAGGGGTTTTCACATTAAAATCTGTGTGCCCTTGTTGTTCTTTTTATTCTAGTTGATTACCGTATTTCGCTACTATGTTATTACTATCATAAATATTATTTTCTATGGGGGTTTATTCCCCATAATTAATACGTAATTGATCAAACACTATTTAAAAATAACTCTTATACTCATAATCAGACTGTTCCAAATGTTCATGAGAATTCTTGCTCATGTTGGACCATTTATATATATATATACATCAGGATTCCAATTCATGGAACTCTCGGTTCGAGAAATAAAAAATAAGAAATCTGAATATTTCTTCTTACTCTTTTTCAAATTCAAAATATATTAATTGGTTGAATATTTCATTTTGGTATTCAAATATCTGAACCTATTCAAAATTAGTATTTAATGCGTGCAGTACAAATACAATCATTTATTTGCATGAATCTGCTCCTATGGACATGGCCATCTTGATGGAGATTCATACAGGTGTTTGCCCAAGGCTTTTTCTTTTACTTGCTTTGGATGCCCAATTTTCTATAGTCAAAAGAAATCATACTACAATGGATTAATCACCAAGGTGAGTGATAAGCTGCAATCATAGAAAGAAAAATCACTTTCAATAAGAGGAAGAGCAGTCTTGATCAAATATGTGTTGCAAAGCATATCCCTATTCATTTGTTGTCTGCAGTAAATCCACCAAATTATGTGATTGCTTAGATACGTCGTATGCTTGCAAGGTTTTTCTGGACTAATGCCATAGACGGAAAGGATAGACATTGGGCATCATGGATAACATATGTTTACCAAAAAAGGAAGGAGGTGTGGGATTTCGGTCTATGTTTGATATGTCCAAGGCCTTATTTTGTAAACTATGGTGGAACTTTAGAGTAAATGACACAAAAAACTCACTCTGGAATGAATTTATGGTGGTTAAATACTGCAAGAAACATGGTCCGACAATGATGCAATAGAAATATGGATCGCATGTGTGGCGAAAAATGCTACAATGTAGAGAGCTTATAGACCATCAAATTTGGTGACAAGTAAAGGAAGGATCTTCTAATTTTTGGCATGATAATTGGACAGGTTTGGGGCCTCTATATGATGTCACACCATCAGATTTTTGGGGCAACGAAGATGTAAAATATGTTCATGAATTTGTCGAGAAAAATGAGTGGAACTTGACCAAATTAAAGGACTATTCTGAAAAAGATAAATCGTGGTGAATTTTATTCAAGTTGTCTACATGCTTTGTCCTAAATTAATTTACATCACATGTAATAATAATTCAAAATCATATAAAGAACAAGCACGTGACATAAAAACGAAATTCAACATACTTCTAACATTTTTATCTTATATATCACATAAAATAATTCATGCCAGAATATTATTATTATTTAATATCTCATAAACTAATAACAATTAAATTAATTGTATAATCTAATAACTTATTATAGATTACCATCCTATCTTATACGAATTTTTAAATTCAAGTTACGAACTATCTCAGTAGTTTAGCTTATACGAATACATATTTTATTCACAATAAAATAATATCAATCCATATGCATTCAAACAATTTGACTATTGCACAAGACACAAGGATAATGGTTTGAAATCTTCAAATAAAATCTTAAAATATTTGTAAATAGATTTTAGACACGAGAAACCATGGCTCTGATACCACTGTTGGATTGCGGGTGGTGTTCATAACACGCAGAGGATGACAATAACAATCCTCGGGAGAACTTTCGTGTTTAAAATTTATTTACATGTCAAAGATCGGATCTAAGACGTACCTGGTGAAGAGAGTCTCGTTTCAGAATTTTTTCGATAGTGCGAAGACTCTAGGCGTATCCACACCAAGAATGATCCTTGCTATCAACTCTTTGGTCAATGAAACCCTACGAACAAATTGAATGAAAATATTGTGTTGAAATTGTTCTCAAAAATCTCAACTCAAAGGTAGAAAAATAAGAAACAATTTTCTTATACTAGTAATTTTTATCTTGGCTTTGTATTGCATTATTACTTTTTTGAAATAATTGTCTTCTCAAGAATAACTCTCTTGGTTTCTGCATGACTTTACAATACGTAAAAGATCTATATCTCTTATTCTAAATTAGGACTCATATATATATATATATATATATATATATATATATATATATATATATATATATATATATAAAAGAAGTCTCAGATGTACTAGCACTGCATCTTTGATGCAGTCATCGATTCTCCCGAGAGGTCACAATTGCTGCGAGCAAAGATATTAATGACGAGGAAGGCTTTTTTGTTATGCTACTAATACTTGCTCTGCTATTCTGCCCAAGCCTGGCCGTAACCCAGCAGATAAAGTACATTACATAGTCCAGGGATTGGCGACTTACCCATTCAGTGACTTTGGCACTGGACGTTCCCAAAATGATTTTCAATACTTTGCTTATGTACAACTACAAAGTACCAAGCATTCTAATTGGATTAGACTAATATCAATGAATCCTTTATCAGTCATTCATTGAATGATAAATAACTACAAATGACGGAGACAGACGATTTAAATAACGGAAAATCCTCAAGTAGTCATTTATTTGGTACCGCCCAAGGGGCGGGAACTGCCATTCTAACTCTTCTCGGGGGATGTGTGTGTGTGTATATATATATACATATATATATATATATATACATACATATATATATATATATATATATATATATATATATATATATATATATATATATATATATATATATATAAAAGTTCTATTGGAAAGTTCAAATCACATGCTGGAAATTTCATAGCCGACTGTTTATGGAATCCAATTCCAATTGGAATTCTACTTTATGAACTTTCACATTCCTAATCCAATTCAAGCTTGGATTCTAGCTTTAGAACTATTTTTTTATTATAAAATTCAAATCTCATCCCAATGAGTTGAATTTTCCAAACTCTTTATGGAATCCAATTCCAATTGAAATTCTCCTTTATGAGCTTTCACATACCTTATCCAATTCAACCTTGGATTCTAGCTTTAGAAATATTTTTCTATTATAAAATTCAAATCTCATTCCAATGAGTTGAATTTGCCGAACTCTTTACGGAATCCAATTCCAATTGGAATTCTCCTTTATGAGCTTTCACATACCTAATCCAATTCAAACTTGGATTCTAGCTTTAGAAATATTTTTCTATTATAAAATTCAAATCCCATCCCAATGAGTTGAATTTGCCGAACTCTTTAGGAATTCAATTCCTAACTGAATTTCACAATCAAGTCTTTATATATATATATATATATATATATATATATATATATATATATATATATATATATANATATATATAACCAAGAGATATAATTTAAATTTCTATTTCAAATAAAAAGCTTCAATTTGTCCACAATATTAATTATATCCTCTGTGCTAGCAAAGAATATAATAATATTTTATTTGGACTAATAACTAAATTGATTTGACTAATTAAATTATTTAATTTAATTATCAAATAATAAATTAATTAGTCCTTTAGCAAAGATCAGAACTAGCAACACTCCTTAACGACCAGATAGCATGAATTATACAAATTACTCTCACTAACCCATAGAAGAATAATGTATTAATTCCTTCTGTACTTATAGCTCTGGGTCACCCTAGAATGTGGTTCAACTGTCAAATCCTAATAGGTGACCAACTATATATTCATGTCAAATATAATCGACCATTGACTGACCTAAGAAACTCTTTTCTTCTTTCATTCAATCGCCCTAGACAAGTGTAACGATCTGGCCGGTCGTTTCGATAGTTGTAGCCCCATTCCCCCATTTTCTGCTCCTTTTGTGCTCTACAGTTGTTATATGACTTACCGGGTAGGTTGGTTCAGGTCCGAGTGATTGCAGAGTGAGTTGAGACACTTAGTCTCATAATCGAAAGCTTAAGTTGAAAAAGTTGACCGGATGTTGACCTATGTGTAAACGACCTCAGATTTGAATTTTGATGGTTTTGTTAGCTCTATTAGGTGATTTTGGACTTCGAAGCGTATCCGGATTGTGATTTGGAGGTCTGTAGCAGAATTAGGCTTGAAATGGCGAAAGTTGGAATTTTGGAAAGTTTGACCGGGAGTGGAGTTTTTGATATCGGGATCGGGTTAGTTTTTTTGAAGTTGGAGTAGGTTCGTGGGGTCATTTGTGACTTATATACAAAATTTGAGGTCAATCGGACATGATTTGATAGGTTTCGGCGTCGTTTCTAGAATTTGGAAATTTCAAAGTCCATTAGGCTTGAATCCGTGTGCAATACGTGTTTTTGATATTGTTTGAGATGATTTGAGGGTATATCGTGTTTTAAGACTTGTTGGTATGTTTGGTTGAGGTACCGTGGGCCTCGGGTTGATTCTAGGTGGTTAACGGACTTGGAGTTTGAGTTGAGGAGCTGTTGAAGGTTGGACTCAGTAGGTGTGATTGTGCCTGCGAGGGTTTTGACCGCAGGTGGGATGCCGCAGGTCCGACAGATGGAGCGCAGGTGCGGAAGTGAGGGAGGTCGGCAAAGGCCGCAGGTACGATTGCACAGATTCGGGCTAGGAGCGCAGAAGCCGAGGCAGTTGAGGGCTAACTGACTTCCGCAGAAAGGGAAGTTTCACCGCATAAGCGAGACCGCGGAAGCATATTTTTGGCCGCATGTGCGGAAGGCCTGGGCAGAACGTATAAATACGAGGGTTCCGAGGTTTTTCACCATTTCTATCATTTTGAGCTCAAATTTTGGAGGTTTGAGAGGGTTTTTAAAGAGATTCTTGAGGTAAGATCCTTGTGTTCATTTTTCTTCAATAATTATGTTTCCCCACTAATTTTCCACCTAGTTTGGTGTGTCTTTAAGGTATAATTTGGGGGTTTGAGGCTAGGCATTTGGAGAGTTGATTTTGGGATTTGAATGGCCATTTGATGTTGAATTTTGATAAATTTGGTATGGTTAGACTCGTGGTCGAATGGGCTTTCAGGTTTTATGATTTTTGTTGGATACCGAGATGTGGGCCCGAGGCCGGGTTCGAGCCAATTTTAGGTTTTGACTTATAATTTTGTATTTTTCCTGTGGAATTGATTCCTTTAGCCCGTATTGGTTGTATTGTACTGATTGTGGCTAGATTTGGGACATTTGGAGGCCAAATCGCGAGGCAAAGGCATATTGGAGTAGAGTTTTGCTCGGATTGAGGTAAGTAACAGTTCTAAATCTAGTTCTGAGGGTATGAAACCCCGAATTATGCGTTATGTGTGTAACGGCCCCACCGGTCGTATTTCACTCTAGTATGTCGTTCGGCAGTTTGAGGCTATGAGCAGCATCACATCAGGTATTATAACTTGTATGCACAGTCGGAGTTGAATTGCGGGAAGTTCGGAGTTGATTTGGAAAGAGAATTCGCATTTCGGAAGCTTTAAGTTGGAAGAATTGACAAGGATAGGATTTTTGAGTAAACAACCTCGGAATCGAGATTTGAAGGTTCCAGCAGGTTCGTATGATGATTTGTGACTTAGGCTTATGTCCGGATCCAGTTTTGGATGACCCAGGAGCGTTTCGGCGCCTATTGTGGAAGTTAGCATTTTGAAAGAATTTCATAAGTTTAGGTTGAAGTGCATTTCAGTGTTATCGATGTTCGTTTGGGATTCAGAGTCTGGGAGTAGCTACGTATGGTGATTCTTATATCGGGAGCGCGATCGAAAGTGGATTTGGAGGTCCGTAGGTCATTTTGGTGTCATTTGGCGAAAGGTAGAAATTTGAAGGTTTTTGAGAAGTTTGGCCAGAGGTGGATTTTTTGATATGGGGGTCGGATTCCGATTCCGGAAGTTGGAATAGGTCCATAATGTCAAATGACTTGTATGAAAAATTTGAGGTCAATCGGAAGTGATTTGATAGCTTTCGGCATAGAATGTACTAGTTTGAAGTTCTAAATTTCGAATTGGGGTGTGATTCGTAATTTTGTTGTTGTTTGATGTGATTTGAGGCCTCGAGCAGGTCTGCATTATGGTTTGGACTAGTTGGTATGATTGGTTGGGTCCAGGGGGCCTCTGGTGGATTTCGGATGGTTAACGCATCAAACTTAGAATTTGAAGAAGGAAGGAAAGCAGCTGCCTTCTGGTGTAACCACACCTGCGAGGCTTGGCCCGCAAGTGCGGAGCCGCAGAAGCGACCTTGTGTAATGACCCGACCGGTCGTTTTGAGCTTTTGCGCCTTGATCACCAGTTCTCAGGCATGACTTGCCCCGTGTAATGTATTATGACTGATGTAGATCGTTGGTTTTGGTATTCAGGAAAATTGGAATGAATTTGAAAGAACAGTCTCAGTTGAAAGCTTTAAATTTGAAAGGTTTGACCAAGATTTGACTTATTTGTATATGAGCTCGGATCGGAATTTTTATGATTTGGCTAGCTACGTTGGGTGATTTGGGATTTAGGAGCGTGATCGGAATGCATTTTGGAAGTCCGTGGAAGGATTAGGCTTGAATTGGCGGAAGTGAAATTTTGGCATTTTCCGGTAGATAGGTGAGATTTTGATATAGAGGTCGGAATGGAATTTCGAGAGTTACAGTAGCTTCGTTATGTCATTAGGGATGTGTGTGCAAAATTTCAGGTCATTCAGATGTGGTTTGCTCGGGTTTTTGATCGAAAGTGTATTCCGGAAGTTTTTGGAAAACTTAGGCTTGAATTCGATGAATTTTGGGTAATTTGATGTTGTTTGAGGTGTTTTGATGATTGGAACAAGTTCGAATGATGTTATGGGTTATGTTGGTAGGTTTGGTTGAGGTCCCAAGGGCCTCGGGTGTGTTTCGGGAGATTAAACAGATCAATTTCATGTGTTGAGGACTTCAGAAATTGCAGGTTTCAGTTGCAGGCTTTTGTTCATTGCGATCGAGTTGGTTCTCTCGCGATCGCATAGAAGCTTTGGAGGGAGCTGTTCTATTGTGCTTCGCGTTCGCATAAGTTGAGGTGCGATCGCATAGAGTGATTCTGCAGTGTATTGTGTTCGCATTAATTATGTTGCGTTCGCATAGGGTTTAATCTGAGGCCTGAGTTTTTGTGCTTCGCGATCGCGAAGGTTTTTCCGCGATCGCATAGAAGAAAATATGCCTGGGCAGAATGTTTTTAAAGTCATCTTGTTCGCGAATGTAGGTCTATTTTCACCCATAGCTGCTCATTTTTGGAGATTCTTGAAGGAAATTACAGAGGGATTCAAGGGGAAACGACTTGAGGTACGAACTTTGGTCTTAAAACTCGATTATATTGTGAAATCCACCTAGAAATTCATGGAAACTAAGCCTAAATGGAAGAAACTAGGGCTTGGGATTTTGAAATTTGATTTAGGGATTTAAAGGACCATTTGAGGTCGGATTTGAGAAGTTTTGGTATGTATGAACTCGTGAGGAGATAAGGAACCCGTTGATGTGAAAATTTCTGAGTTTCGAGAAGTGGGCATGGGGCTCGAGTTTTGGTAATTTCGGGATTTGTGCCCGTTATTGATTGTTTTCGCTTGGGCTTTGTTCCCTTAGCATATTGTGATGTATTCGTTCTGATTTTGTATAGATTCGACGCGCGTGGAGGCCAATTTGAGGGGCAAAGGCGTCGCGAGCTAGAGATTTCGCCGGTTCGAGG